ATACCCGTGATCCTTTGCAAATTGGAGACAATATTTGTTCCAGGCTTCTTTAATAGTATGGAACATCTTCCCATCCATCTACCACACGAGGTGAAAATTGTCGGGCCTGTTCAATTTTGTTGGATGTATCCTTTCGAGAGGTATATAGAATCAATTTGAAATGTTCTTTCATGTCACCTTTAGTGTATACTTAAAACCTGTTTGCATAACCTACACGACAATGTTGTTTTCTTTTCATAGGTTTTTGAATCGTCTTAAAAGGATGGTTAAAAATAAGGCCCATGTTGAAGGGTCAATTGTAAATGCATTTCTCATAAGGGAGGCTAGTTTCTTTTGCTCGTACTATTTTGAAAAACATGTCTATACGCGTGCGATGAATGTTCCCAGACAACATGACGGTGGTGCACCTATTTATGGAAATAGTGATACATTGTCTGTGTTCAACCATCCAACCCAATTGCAAGGCAAACCCAAGAAATGGTTTCTAACTCCTAGAGAATGAAATGCAATTCAGACATACTTTCTCCTTAATGTCCTCGAAATAAATCCGTTCATATCGTAAGCTTTTTGGGTTTCCTGATTACAATTTTTGTCTATATCTTATTATGTATTAGTGAAACTTGATGTTTTTACTGTAGGATCTTTGACAATGAATTGAGGCAATTGAATCCACGTATTTCAGAGGTCGAGGTTGCTTCGCAGCTTCAAAAGAACTTTATAACATGGTTCTACGAATATGTATGTATTTGGTGTTGACATACAACTACTTTTCTGCTCTTGTAATATGGTATAATCATCTACTTCTCTATCTTAGGCGGAGAACCAACATCCTTTGGATATAATTTTTCGAGATATTGCGCACGGCCCGTTGGTGGAGGTTACCACATATCCAATTTGTTTTATCAACGGTTACCGTTTCCACACGTAGACACATGGATGAAGCAGGTCAACTTATAACTGCAGGGTTTGTGTAGATGATGGATGGTTAGAGTATTATGGAAATATTCAAGAAATTATGGAGGTTGAGTTTCATGCGCTACCCATAAAACAATGCATCTTCTTTCGTTGTGATTGGTTCGATCCAACTAGTGGTGTCGGAACAAAGAAACATGAAAATTACAACTTGGTTGAGATAAACAAACTGAAAAAATCATGCACTTATGAACCTTTTATACTTGGGCTGCAAGCTAAGCAAGTCAACTATATTTCATTCCCAAGTTTGAGAAAGGACAAAGATGATTGGTTGGATGTTTGTCAGGTGAAACCTCAAGGTTGGATTGAATTGGTAGAAGGAGAAGTGTTCACTCAACCAGAAACTAAGACGTACCAGGATCCAGTTGTTGAAGCATGCATGATTGAATCTGTTAGAACCAGGGAATCTATAAATTTGGTATCAACAGGTGGCGGAGTTGGTATACCCTTGCAAATGTCTGATGACTCTGATACAGAGGAAGAAGTCTTTCTTGAGACATCTAGTTCTGATGACAATCAATTTTACTCCTTGAGTTCGGATGATGATGTGCCTTATGACTAGGTTATAACTTTATAAGATTTAATCTTATTTATATTTTCTCATAATTCCGAACTATATTTAAGATTTCTGATAATGTACTTTCAATTCTAGATGTTGCAAGGATCCAATGAAGAACAACGAAGCCAGAACATCCGCCGTCTGGAAAGGTCACAAATGTTGTTGTGGCAGGCGGAAACGCAAGAGGAGCAACATGAGCCGAGTTTTTCTGAGACCCAAGTAGGAGAAAGGTCAGGTAAATTTTTTTTAGATTACATGAAGTTCTTATTCGAACAGATGTTGGAGATTCTCAAGCGGATATTGCTGTTGGAGACGACCCACATGTCGAAGTGAGAGTCGAGTCGGGTGGGAGGTATGTTTTTGTCTGAGATCCTTTTTCTAGCATTCAACTTGGTATTGTAGTATTAGTTTAAAATGTATAAAACTTACAGCATCTTCTGGCCACGTGATGCTTTGATTAAGTTCCGAGATGTTTTCAAGTCAAAATTAGTGACGGAAGGAGAAACAAGTGACTCTCCGTACCGGAAGATACACGCCGGTGGTATACGACTGAGATGAAGGTATGTCAACTAATTATGTGATTTCTTAACATACTAATTGAGATTCACTTCCATTTCTTCTAACATTTTTGTATTGTGTATTCTAATCAATGCAGAAGTACATCAGGTGGGATCCGGCTCATGAGGAAAATGTCTTAAAGAAACTTAATACTAGGGCACAAGAGGCCTATAATAAGTAGATGAGTGATATTTGAGGTGGGCAGGATAAAACCGCACACAAGATCATTCCCACTGCGGTGCTCGGTGCATGGAAAAGGGCTTGGAGCTCCAATGATGCACAAAAAAGGTCAACAACTGCCAAGACTAATAGACATCGGGGCAATTTAGCAAATAATCTAGAGTCGACGCATACCGGGTGATCACGCTCATTCATGCAGACGGCAAAAAACTTTGTTAGATAATTGTGTATTCTTTTGGTTTGATATTCGATATGCAATGCAAAATCTTGAGAAATGGGGAACGTATGAGTGAGCTCACACGAGGAAGCACGATAAAAAATCATGGTGCAACACGAAGGCTAACCGAGTAGCGGTATGAAAATCATATGTTTTAAAGCACTATTTAAAGTATTGCATACAATTCATGAATATATTTGTATTTTTAGGATGGAATGAAACATATTGAAGAGGGGATGTCCCAACTTAGGGACAATGACTATAGCAAGGACGAGGCGTTTCTAAGCTTAGTTCGCCGTAATAAGAAAAAACGTATATTTGGGTTGGGATCGTCGGCATCAACGGTTCCTACTGAACAATCATCGTTTAACAATGACGGCCGCACCCCTACAGCTAAACCTACAGATATGGAACGCATAATGAGAATAGAACACGAGCAGCAAATTATGAAGGAACAAAATATGACTATCATGGAACAGTTACGAAATATTCAGGCTCACTTAGACCGTCGTGACCCGGACGGCGATACCGGTGCTCCCCCAATCGCGTGATGTATGTTTGCTTCAAATTTCGTTTACTTTTGGTATTTTATGAATTGATGGAATGTTTGCTTTTTATTTTATGTTATCATATGGCATTGGAGATGAAGTTTATTTTGTATTACATGGTGCTTACTATTTGGATGGTTAACAAGATTTCTTATAATGTTAGTTTGTACTTGTTTGAGACAGGTGTACAAATTTAACATGAATATATTGTTAGTTTGTAATTATTTTGGAAGTTAGGAATTTGAAATGAACTAGTGATGATAATTTGTAAAATGATTTGCGATGGATATTTGGGAAGGAATGAATTCCCTTGCAAATTTCGAATCAATATGCGATGGATATTTGCGAAGGAATGAATTCCCTTGCAAATTTCGAATCAATATGCGATGGATATTTGCGAAGGAATGAACTCCATTGCAAATTTTAAATCAATTTGCGATGGATATTTGCGAAGGAATGAACTCCATCGCAAATTTTGAATCAATTTGTGAAGGAAAACTATATCTTCGCAAAATTCATTCGCAAACATTTGCGAAGAAATCGATGCTTCGCTAAATTTTCTCACAAACATTTGCGAGGGAATTTTTTTCTCGGATCCAAATTAGCGAGCAGGTGTATAGCAATGACATGTATTACTTCGCAACTTCCCTCGCTAACATGTTTTACGAAGGAAATAATTTGATTTGCGAGGGAATTTGTAATTTCTTCTGACTTGATTGCTTGTTTATGCACTCTTTATGCCTTATGTGTTCCTAGTGGTAGCATTGTAATGTTAGTATTGTTTTCCTTGAAGGAAGGCAGGGATTTGGTATGAAAGTTAAGAGCTAAGTTTAGAATTATCTTGACCATTAATAAGAGTGTGATTCCAACTAAGACAAGTGATAGTAAAATAATTCACTCTCACAGTGACCAACATGTTTTAGAGGTTTTATGTGCTTTGAAGAAGTTAAGCGTTAACATTCATACGTTATAGTATACTTCAATTTACCAATTATTCACTTGATAGTGACCAGCCACCCCACCCCACCCCACCCCACACCACCCCAACTATTGGAACTACTTTTGTTACTAATTCTCCAACTTATGCAACTTGTAAGCTTCTATATAAAGAAGTGCTTGTAACATTTTAAAACTACGAAGAGGTGAAGATGAGTTATTGCATACTAAAATTTCAAACAAAGTTCACCCTCGCTTTTCTTATGATGCGATTTCGGTTAGTGTTGATATGGTTTTGTATTGGTGCATGGCTTCTCAAAATGTGCGTTCCTCTTTTCTTTTCTTTTTTTTTTTTTTATAATGTGAATCCGTAGCTGCTACTCGAAGGTGGGCTCTGGGTAAACCTCTAGTCGAACTTAATATCTTGCAAACTACGCCCGATAAGGCAAGTACACTAGGGCGAACCATGTGGGGCAGGTGGATCTGGAGGCGTCAGGGTTTGAATCCACTACCACACGATCACAAGTTCATTCCCCACGCCATTCTTGGGTCTCGGAAGGGTTGGTTTCCCCTAGGTTTTACCCAAATCGATTGAACTTGTGTCAATTGCTTGTTTTAGGCCTGCTTTTTTCTCTCGGGTACTTTATCATGTTGGATTTGGGATCAAATATGTATATCGAATATGTTGTTAAAGTCATTATTTTATTCAGTCTTATTATTTAAGTGGTCTAATTAATATAATTAATTATTGACTGATAGGTTTGATTGTTATGGAATGAAAGTGCAGCTACCCGTATAATATTATTATTTTGGTGACATGAAAAATTAATAATATTAATTAAGGGCATAATAGTAATTGCAATTATGTTTGCCCTATTATAAATAGGCTAGGGTTAGGTCGCCATGATCAGCACGCCGTAAAAGAGATCTGATTCTCCCTGCAGTTTTTGCTCCTCACCCGTCAAGGACAGAAAAGAAGCCGGCTCTCTGATCTTGGAAGACCAAACCTTTAATCACCCAAGATTTGTATATGGCTTCATCAGGTACGCTTCCGCTTTAAGGATCGGGCATTTAAATTCAACAATTGGTATCAGAGCATGTTGAATTATTTGGATATTCTGTCGGATCAATCGAATTTATTGGTATCGATTTTTTGGATTTCTTCCTTAGATGAAGTGATTTTTTAATTAAATTTATTAATTGAAAATTTTGATTGAATCCGGTGAATTATTATGGTTCGGCTTTTGCGCATCTGCTGTTTCTTTAATAATATAGATACATTAATGGCATGTTTGTATGTATATATATATGCAATTAATTAATTATGCATTCGTTGAAATCAATTCATTCATGAATATGTGTTGGATTATACAATTGCATATCTTGATCTCCGTGCCAATCCTTGTATTTTACTTTTATTTATGTATTTTACATTGGAATTCGTGTGCATGTTTAATGCAATAAATTGATTGGAGTTTTATTTTATAATACACAAACTGTACGAATGATGTATTAATGAATGTGTGCGCGCGTATTTATGTATGCATGCAATGGTTGCTCTCATGTTGTCTCGTGCCCTCCGCCACTTATTAATTAATATGTGTCTATGCATATATATATTAATTAATATATGATTGTAATTTCAATCATGTTTGTCTCATTGTATATTTTATGGAAACAGCATGTATATATATATATTTTTTTATCATGACTGTTATTAAACAATTTATGAAATTGATACATGTATCTTCAGAAATTAATTTTGCTTATATTGCAAATATTTCAACCTTCAGAATTGGAAACTCATTAATAATATTTGCTGCGTTTTGACGGTGAAAATCTAGTATTTGAAGTTGCCAAAGTAACCTCTCTTATATGAAATTTTTACTTGATAGCGTAAGTGTTTACATGTGTATTTTAATTCATGTGATTATTCTTCGGCCCAAAGGCAGTCGATAATTGACAGAATGAAATATACATCTGCGATAATATGTATGGGACAATTATATAGATTTAACTTATGTGAATAGTAAATCAGTCCAAAGATTGGTTGCTGTTTGACATTACCTTATTGTCCGTATATGATTATTGCAACAAGATGACTGCTTGCAGTTAATGGCATTGATCCAAAGATTAAACATTAATGTTGTGTTTAGTGTCTTGAGATGGGATTACATTATTTTATTTTGAGTTTCATTATGCTACTTGAGTACTTATGTGTATATTAATTTCTTGTTATCTTCAGGATCGAATCTTATGGTATCTTCTAACTATTCAGTCCCAATACTGTCTGGGGACAACTATCAGTACTGGAAAGAATCAATATTGATTCATTTGGGCTGTATGGATCTAGACCTGGCATTAAGGATAGACCAACCCCCTTCTCCTACGGAAGAAAGCACTGCAGATGAAAAACAGTTGTTTGAGAAGTGGGATAGGTCTAATCGCCTTAGTCTAATGATCATAAAGAAAAGCATTCCAGAAATCTTTAGGGGCACGATATCTGATGATATCATTACTGCTAATGATTTCCTTGTCGAAATTGAGAAACGCTTTACCAAAAGCGATAAGGCGGAAATGAGTACTTTTCTGAAGAGTCTCATTACTATGAGGTATAGCGGCAAAGGAAATATAAGGGAATACATCCTGAACATGTCTAATACTGCTTCTAAGTTGAAAGCACTTAAGTTAGACCTTTCAGAGGACATGTTAGTCCTATTGGTTTTGCTCTCACTTCCTACTCAATACGATCAGTTTAAAGTCAGTTACAACTGTCAAAAGGAGAAGTGGACTCTTAATGAGCTCATCTCTCACTTTGTTGAGGAAGAAGAAAGGATGAAGCGTAATAAGACTGAAGAGGTACATCTGGTGGATACCTCAAAGGATGCAGGCGGCAAGAAGAGAAAATATAAGGCCGTTAAGGTTGAGACTGCTAAGGCTCATGTTCCAGCTCCAGCTCCTCGGGCTCGTCCTGAAAAGATTTGCTTCTTTTGCAAGAAACCTGGACATGAGAAGAAGAATTGTACTAAGTTTCACGATTGGCGCGTGAAGAAGGGTACGTTTCTTACTTTGGTTTGTTCTGAGGTTAATTTAGCTTCAGTACCTCGAAATACTTGGTGGTTAGACTCTGGATCAACTACTAACATCAGTGTTTCAATGCAGGGTTGCCTGAGCTACCGAAACCCAACTGATGCTGAAAGACGCATTTACTTTGGAAATGGGGATTCAGTAGAGGTGGAAGCCGTGGGCATTTTCAAGCTGTTGTTGAGTACTGGACATTTTCTTGAATTGCAAGACACTTTTATTATACCGTCATTTAGACGGAATTTGGTTTTTGTTTCTTATTTGGAAAAATTCAGTTATCATTGTTCTTTTGGAAACAATAAAGTTGAGTTGTCTTTTAATTCATGTTTGGTTGGTTTTGGTACTTTTATGGTGAATGACGGTTTATATATACTTGATATTTTGGTTTCCTATAATGAGGCACTTAATATGGAATCAAAAGGTACTAAGCGAAAATTGCATGACTCTAGTTTATTGTGGCACAAACGTTTAGGTCATATTTCAAGAAACAGAGTTGAAAGACTCATTAAGGATGAAATCCTTGATTCCATAAATTTTTCAGACTTTGACGTTTGTGTCGATTGCATTAAGGGTAAACAAACCAAGGTTAAAAGGATAGGTGCTTATCGAGCTACGGATGTCTTAGAATTGATACATACAGACATTTGTGGGCCTTTTTCCACTCCTTCGTGGAACGGTCAACAATATTTTGTGTCATTCATAAACGATAATTCTCGATATGGTCATCTATACCTTATTAAGGAAAAATCTGAGGCACTGGACATGTTCAAAGCATTTAAGGCTGAAGTTGAAAATCAACTAAGCAAACGCATTAAGACTGTCAGATCTGACCGTGGAGGAGAATATTATGGCAGAAATGATGGCTCGGTGAACAACGTCCAGGTCCTTTTGCTGACTTCCTTAAGGAGTGTGGAATCGTCCCTAAATACACCATGCCCGGTTCACCTAGCATGAACGGTGTTGCTGAGAGATGAAACCGCACATTGAAGGATATGGTTCGAAGTATGATTAGTCAATCTACTTTGCCACCATCATTATGGGGAGAAGCATTAAAGACAGAAGTCTACATCCTTAATCGAGTGCCAACTAAGGCGACTGCCAAAACACCCTATGAACTCTGGATTGGGCACAAGCCTAGCTTAAATCATCTTAGGGTGTGGGGTTGTCGAGCTGAGGCGAAGGCCTATAGGCCAAATGAACCAAAGCTAGCACCTCGTACAGTAAACAATTATTTTATTGGCTACTCGGAACGGTCAAGGGGGTATAAATTTTATGATCCCACATCAAGAACTATTTTTGAGACGGCTACTGCCAAGTTCTTTGAGGATGTTGAGTTTAGGGGGAGAAATACAATTTTAGACTTTACTTTTAAGGATCAAGAAATCACTGATGTGATTGATCAAACACCTCATGAGTTAGCAGTCATTCCAGCTCCCATAGAGTTTCAAAGTGCGACTGAGGAACCCGTTCGTATAGAACAGGAACCTATGCCTATGGAACAAACTCAAGAAACTCAAGAATATACAGTTCAAGAGCCAACGTAATTGCGTAGATCCACTAGAGAATGAAGAAATGCCATTCCGGATGATTATGTGACATTTCTTCAAGAAAGTGAGGATAATGATGGCATGACTGAGGATGATCCAATTAATATTTATCATGCCATGAAGGGTCCTTATTCAGATAAATGGATTGATGCGATGCGTGATGAGTACAAGTCAATGCAAGACAATAAAGTTTGGGAACTTGTCCCATTGCCAGAAGGTGCAAAACCCGTAGGTTGCAAATGGATTTTTAAAACCAAACGGGATGCAAATGGTAATGTGGAGAGGTATAAGGCACGTCTTGTAGCTAAAGGCTATACTCAGAAAAGGGGGATTGATTATAAAGAGACTTTCTCTCCGGTTTCTTCGAAGGACTCTTTTAGGACAATCATGGCTCTTGTGGCATACTTTGATTTAGAGCTCCATCAAATGGATGTTAAGACGGCGTTTCTGAATGGTGACATTAATGAAACGATCTATATGGTACAACCAGAAACTTTTGAGGTCGGTGACCCAAAGCAAATGGTTTGTAAATTAAGAAAATCCATCTATGGGCTCAAACAAGCGTCTCGACAGTGGTATCACAAGTTTCATCAAGTAATTCTCTCATATGGTTTTGGGATGAATGTGGTTGATGATTGTGTTTATCATAAGTTCAGTGGGAGCAAGTTTATTTTCTTGGTTTTGTATGTGGATGACATTTTGCTTGCCACAAATAATGTGAGCATGTTGCACGAAACTAAGAAATTTCTCTCGAGTAACTTTGAAATGAAAGATCTTGGTGAAGCATCTTTTGTATTAGGGATCCAAATATATCGTGATAGATCTCGGTGTATTCTCGGATTATCTCAAAAGAGCTATATTGATAAAATACTCGAGCGATTCAGCATGCAGAAATGCAAGCCGGGAGATACCCCTATAGCTAAAGGAGAGAAATTAAGTCTCAGCCAATGCCCTAAAGTAAATCTGGAAATTGAGGAGATGGAAAAAATCCCCTATGCCTCGGCAGTTGGGAGCCTCATGTATGCACAAGTATGTACACGTCCAGATATTGCGTACATAGTCGGTGTGTTAGGCAGATACCTTAGTAATCCTGGATTGGATCACTGGAAGGCAGCCAAGAGGATGATGAGATATCTGAAGAGAACCAGTAATCACATGCTCACATATAGGAGGTCAGACCAATTGGAGATCGTTGGATACTCTGACTCCGACTTTGCAGGATGCCAAGATAGTAGGAAATCTACATCTGGCTATATTTATATGTTGGCTGGTGGGGCCATCGCTTGGCGCAGTGCCAAACAGACACTCGTTACCAGTTCCACGATGGAAGCTGAGTTCGTGGCGTGTTTTGAGGCATCACAGCAAGCGATTTGGCTAAAGAACTTTGTCGCTGGGCTGCGAATCATTCCGATGGTTGAAAAACCCATCAAGATTTTCTGTGACAACAATTTAGCCGTTGAATACTCCAACAACAATAGGAGTTCATCCAGGTCAAAACATATTGACATTAAGTTCCTAGTTGTGAAGGAGAGAGTGAAAGATCATCATATCTCGATCGAGCACTTAGGGATGAAATCTATGTTAGTAGACCCCCTAACTAAAGGTGTAACGCCTAAGGTCTTCCATGAGCATACTGCTCATATGGGTGTGTTACAATTTGAGGAAGCTTCACTGTAGTGGGAGTATGCATTTACATTCTTTTGTCGTTCACTTGATATTTGTTTTATACTCTTTTGATCATTATTTCGGTTATGATGTTTTGGACATTATGATTAAGTAATTTACGATCTCATTCAGTTTGCACCAGTAGAAAATTGACATATTTAGATCACACTTATGTAATTTTCTCTCTGCACATTCCATGATTGATCTATGTCATTTGATTACACTGATATTTATGATTACTGTGAGTTTAGCTGTTGATACGGCGAATGCTTCTTTAGTCCTATATTGCTGTGATTGATGGACCAGATTGTTGCAAGTCTTGTTTTATAATGACTGAAAATTGAGCTCATAAGGAACAATATGTTCATTCAGACACATACTAGATCCAGTGGGAGATTGTTGGATTTGGGATCAAATATGTATATCGAATATGTTGTTAAAGTCATTATTTTATTCAGTCTTATTATTTAAGTGGTCTAATTAATATAATTAATTATTGACTGATAGGTTTGATTGTTATGGAATGAAAGTGCAGCTACCCGTATAATATTATTATTTTGGTGACGTGACAAATTAATAATATTAATTAAGGGCATAATTGTAATTGCAATTATGTTTGCCCTATTATAAATAGGCTAGGGTTAGGTCCCCATGATCAGCACGCCGTAAAAGAGATCTGATTCTCCCTGCAGTTTTTGCTCCTCACCCGTCAAGGACAGAAAAGAAGCCGGCTCTCTGATCTTGGAAGACCAAACCTTTAATCACCCAAGATTTGTATATGGCTTCATCAAGTACGCTTCCGCTTTAAGGATCGGACATTTAAATTCAACATATCACTCTTGTTTCTCTCTTATTATTTTCGGACAATTGAGAATAAATTCTCAATTTTTTCACAAATTTATTTATAGTCAGTCCCTACTATTAATTCATGACATTGCCACTCCCCCATTTTCTATTTCAATTTATTCTCACTCGCCCATCTCGATTTCCTTTCCATCTCCCTAAATCGCTGTTATCTTTCGCGCGAAATTGGTATGGAAAATCCAATCCGGAGGGGCAGTTAACGTCGATTGCAACATCGACACAGCTGTCCGGCGTTTTGGAAGACCTATTTCTCTCCTTTCTCCATGTATCTTCCACCATTGCGCCGGTGGTCGACCAAGGGTTTAGAGGATCGGTGATTTCTCTCTCCCCTAAGCCCCTGCAATTCATGGCGGCTCGACCAAGGGTTTAGAGGATTCAATTCATCCTGCCTCGGTTTCTCTCTTTCTTCTTCATGACTTCTTCAGCGGTGCCTCTTCGGAAAGCTACAGGTGGATCAATATTGTAAGTTCAACCTCTTTATAATCATTAATCAGAAGTATGAGAACTTTTCTGGAATTTTTGATATCATGCTGTTTATGTATTCTTATATAATTTTTTGTTTGTTTGGATTTTGTGTTTATTGTCTACCCAGGGAAAATCACAACAAGCAAACACTGACTTTACTTCAAATGGATAGGTTTTGAGTTAGAAAGGAAATAGTTATTTTGTGAAAACTGTTGCTGGAAGCCCTTCGGTTGTGTTATACAAGTAGGTTTTACTTTACACACAAAGTAGTATTTTTGTGATTTAAGAAAATTTTGGTTGAATGTTATACCATGGAAAAAATTTTGCTATCCAACCTTGTGCAGGGTTCATATTTAATTAATAACTATTTGGATCTCTATCATAAGTTAAAGAATTAAAGAATTGTTCATCGCCATCACCATGCACATTGAAAACCTACGAGTATGTAAAGTAGCATGGAAGTCTTGCACTTTGTACTTGACATGTTTTTCACATCATTGCTAATTTACATATGTCTACTTTTTTCTTTCTTTTTAAATTATGATTATTAGCACACCAGAGATAATGCTTCTTTTCCAATGAAGATACAAGAGCTGCATCTATCGAGATTGAATTTTAAGTATTTACTCATTTTCATTTTTGCTACTGTATAAGTTCTAGGATTTTGTGTTGAAATTATAGTTTAAAGATTAATAAATTGATTCTGCTGTGATTGGACTATTATATCTCTATATTTTTGTTTATACAAATTTTAATTTTGACTGTATTTAAAAAAAAAAAAAAGGGGGTATAAAAATTTGGTGGTACTCTGGTTGTAGAAATTTGAGTTTTTTTTTTTTTTTTTTGCTGTGTTTTGGAAAAAACAGAATTTTGAATGAAATGATTGTTGGATATAATACAAATAAGTATTTGGTGTGATATTTTGAATGTATATAATTTTTTTAATATAATATGATAGATAAAAAGTAATTGTATAAATAAAGATTAAACAATAGTTTACTGTAGATGATTAGTTAAGACGTGTAATTTGTTTCTCAATTCTATAAGTTAGTTGACCAATGGAAAATTTGGTGTATGACTTTTGATATTAAATTTAAATCAAATTTTTTTTTTTTTTTTCCTTTAGAGGTCATGCCTGAATTTTATTGTTTTTGTGTATGATTGGTCCGTTTTGATGGAGAGAGAGAAAAGCATTTTGAAATTGTTAATCATATGTTCACCTTAAAACACGCTTCATGTAATTGTTTTAGAAGAGCATACTATGTTCGAGGATCTTTACAAAAATCTATTGGAAAGATGGAATAATGTAGCTCTTAGTATTTTACTATTCAGAATTGAAATACTAAATACCTAAAAGGATATTTATTTACTAATTTTTTTCTTTGTTATTTCTGGGGCGAGATAGTAAGTTTCTCGATTAATCAATGAAACAACTGAAATTATAGTTTCAAATGAAAGTACTAGCCTTATCTTAATGCAGAGATGCATTGTTAATGATTGTCAGACATTTAAGGTCTCTAAGATTTTAGAAGGTTGCAATAATTCTACTATTACAAACCAGAAAGTTTTCACATGCCAAAAGAATGTGTACTAAAATTATTGTGGTGTTCAATGAGTGGGTATTGTAGAACTTTTAAAATAGTACTTCCTCCATCATGCAAATGTGTGCTCATTTGACGGGGCACGAATTTTAATAAAAGTGAGTAATAATTGTTATTTTTTCTTTTATAGTAAAAAAAAGTACAAAAGTATAATGATTTTTTACTTACAAAGGAAACGAAAATATTTTTTGATGACAACTAGAAAAGAAAGTGAGTATAGATTTAAATGACGGAGGAAGTATATATATATTTTTTTAATTTTGATAGGATGTACATAAATCCTTTGTTGTCAATATGGTTTCCCTGTAATTATTTTTGGCATATTGGATATTATGTAATATTATAATCAAATATACAACAGTAAGACCAAATGTGTATTTACACGTGTTTGTATAATGTGTA